TCCAGTATTTATGCTGTTATTCTATGTAGGAAGCTTGTTTTTATTTCCTCTATTTATGCTGTTATTCTATGTGAAGATCCTGGTTTTTATTTCCAGTATTTATGCTGTTATTCTATGTAGGAAGCTTGTTTTTTATTTCCTCTATTTATGCTGTTATTCTATGTAAGAAGCTTGTTTTTTAGTTCCTCTATTTATGCTGTTATTCTATGTAAAGATCCTGGTTTTTATTTCCTCTATTTATGCTGTTATTCTATGTAGGAAGTTTGGTTTTTATTTCTTCTATTTATGCTGTTATTCTATGCGAAGATCCTGGTTTTTATATCCTCTATTTATGCTGTTATTTTATGTGAAGATCCTGGTTTTATTTCCTATATTTATGCTGTTATTCTATGTAGGAAACTTGGTTTTTATTTCCTCTATTTATTCTGTTATTCTATGTGAAGATCCTGGTTTTATTTCCTATATTTATGCTGTTATTCTATGTAGGAAACTTGGTTTTTATTTCCTCTATTTATTCTGTTATTCTATGTGAAGATCCTGGTTTTTATTCCGTCTGTTTTTGCCGTCGTTTTATGTGAAAAGCTCGGTTTTTATTCCCTTTGTTCCAGTTGTTGTTCTCTGTGAAATTTTATGTTTCTTTATCTTCTGTTTTGTTGGATCCTCTCATGTTAATTAGTCGATGTATATTTCCGTAATGGATTAACTTTCTATGACGAAACAACAAGTTTTTGTCCCGGTGATAATGAAAAAACAATTTGTAGAAAACAATTATCAAGTACAAGTGGAAGCTAAATATTGTTTTGCAATCGAAAAACACCTCAATTCTAATGAAGTAGTTTGATTAATTACAATTAGAGTTTAGTTTAATGTTTTCTATGTTATTTGATCTCTATACCATTACAACACCAATTATTTTTGACTAATATTTTCTACAGTTGTTAAAATTACAAAATCTAAACGGTTATATACAGTAACTAGTGTTGCCTTCACGTTAGCTACTAGAACAATAGTATCTCAAATGATCACCATCTGCAGGTGGAGTAAATAGCCCAGCCCTGTAGGTTCGCCTTCTCTGTAGAGGTTCTTTTCTGTTTAGACGAAGCCCTGTTACAGGCTCTTGTTGGGCACCGGTAGAGTAATTTGCCACAGGTTGAAATCATCTACAAAAAAAAACAAAAAAAATTGTTCCTGTAAGGAGAGAAATCTTTTACTAAATTTTATGATTCAAATAATTATATTTTTATGCTCATTTTTGTTTTACGTAAGCAAATCGGAAATGTTCTGAGTTTGTTCTAAAGCAAATTCACATGACGTTTCCCAGTTCGGTGGGCTTATTTCATTCAATCGTAAAAATATATATTTATAGATTGTGTATTATATGAAACTCTCCGTATTTCATAAGTTGTAAAATGAAGCAGTAAAAAGGTCTACCCTATTGTGAATCCAAACATACAAGTACTTGAAACTGAAGAAATACACTTCACCCTTCCCGGACATTGAAGATTCACATAAATCCAAACATACAAGTACAATCTTCAATGTCCGGGAAGGGTGAAGTGTATTTCTTCAGTTTCAAC